TCACATCCCTGGTGGTACCACGCTCAAATTGTTTCTCCGCGCAGCGGGCTTGTTTGTCAAGGTTTGTGTTTAGGAGTTGTAAAGTTAAGATAAGGTTGTAACTATAACTAAAGTAGCCTCCTAAACTAAATTGGCCTTCATGACCTTTGGGAGGTGAATTGAAATTAAAAAAAAAAAAAAAAAAGTATAAAAATATAGTAGGTTATACTTAGATATATTAGACTATAGATAAAAATGCTTAAATAGGTTACTTTTAAGTGTAACAATAGAACAACACAAAATAAAATTATTCGGAAAGCAAGATGGTAATAAAAGTACATTAAGCTGTAAAATTAAAGCTTAAAAACATCATCTTAAGAATATTGTCTGTAAACAAAGTCAAAATAAAAAATACCTCAAAAAAATTTTAAGGCATAAAGTTTAGTTTATTTATCATTTAGCTATTATTGTAATGCAGGATAAAAATATAAAAATGCCATCTGTTGGAAAATTGGTAAATTAATAAAAAAATGCTGATGCCAATACAGAATATGCAAAAAGTGTCTGATTAAGCCAATGCAAATTATAATTTTAAATTTAATATATATATATATATATATATATATATATATATATATATATATATATATATATATATATATATATATATATATATATATTATTTATTTTCTTAAGTCTGTTGCATTGGTATGTCTAAGAAACATAAAATCCCAATATCGAACTTTGTTACTGAAATTCTCCCAAAATCTCAGATTCTTGAACGACTTTTTTCAACTTTTTATCCTAGCAAACAGCCAGCCATCGTGAAACACAGACTAGTACTTTTAAAAGTTCTCTGAAGAAAGGTGCAACAAGTTAAAAATGTATTTTAATTAATCATGACTAAGTTCCATCATAGATGCAATCTTGCTGTCTAAAACATTACCTGAAATGTAATAACATTATTGATAACACTAACACTGTATCCACAAGCAACATGCTTTAGTATCCGTTGAATCTCTACATTAAGTTTACATTCATCATGATAAAAAGAATTGTTGCTTGAGATTGTGTAAAAAGGAAATTTTTTTTCAAATACACTTGCTGAAATACTTGATTAAGTGTCATTGTGTGTCTTTGAGTGTGTCTCAATGGATAATTGCATAGCATCTTTAGTCTTAGATCAGAAAACAGCCAAGTAGAAGAGAAGGAGAAGCATTGGTACCTTATGACAAGAAATTTAAAAAATCTAAAAAATTAATAAAAAACTGGAAACTAATATTTTTTTCCATTTTTCTAATGTGTTGGCAACATTTTAATATAATTTATGTTTACAAAAATTAATGGTCAACTACAATACTTATGAATTTTAAAATATATTTTTATTTTAAAATATATTTTTTATTAGCATTTTTTAAATATTTATTGTTGCAATATATTAAAATATATTTTTATGCTAATTTCTTATGTTTTAAATTACAAAACTATTACAAAAATTAATGGTCAAGTACAATACTTATGAATTTTCAAAATCCCATACACAACAAAGGTAGAATTGGTACACAGTAAGGGTAGCATTGGTTCACAACATGTTAAAATTAATACAAGGAGAAATTTCATAGTAAATAATTGCATATTCAAGGAAAAAGAGAACTAAAATTTTAAATCCAAAAACATATTATATAAACATACTTAAATTAATAGCCTACATATTTGCAACGTATAATAAAGTAAAATATTACCACAGTGAAAGTATATCATTACATATATATCAAGTAATTTATGTAATTTATAGAACATATCGATGGTTAAGAGCACAAAGAGAATACGTCTACTAACCATTGTTTTGAGAAATCTGAATTTGAAAGTTTGAAAACATACAATAATTTATGATATTTATTCATTGTCATGATTTTTAACCAAATGCATTCCTCAATTAATTCTGTCTTGTTTTTTACTATTTTTACCATAGTACCCTTATCACTTACTGAATGGCGTGCGCGCAATAACTCAAAACCGTAAAATGTTGGACATATTCCCTATGTGCTCTTAACCATCAATATATTAAAAATTCTGACCAATGCTTCTCAATTTCAATGTACCAATTACCCTTTACCAGTGAGTACCTTAGAGTGAATTATTTATTTATGTAATAAAAATGTGTTCATGTTTTAACTTTTTCTTGGCAAATTTAGGTTTAAGCTTAAACTCAAGTTTTTTAAAATACAAATTTTAAAAGCATATTTACTATTCTCAGGAGAATGTAAAAAAAATAACATCGAGGCAAAATGAACAACAGCTAAATTTACAGGTAACAAAATCTTTAAACCTAACTATATTTTCTGTGGAATAAGTGATTATTAACAACATTTGAAATCAGCATTAAAAGTTAAAATTTATATACAACAGCTGAATATTTACCTGTGTACCAATGCTCACCCTGTAATACTCCCCTCTCTCCTCGATCTTGAAAATATGTTTGTTTAATTTTTTAGACATTTAGAAAGGAAAAATACCAAAAATAAAATAAATATTTTAGTACTGATCGAGTCTACATTTCTTGTATAAAACAAAAGTATTGAGAATTTATTTAATATTATTTAATAATTGGTTTAGTTAATAATTAATAATTTTAATAATTGATTTAATACACTTAATTTTTTACAATTTTAAAATTAAATAATTTTTGTACAACTTTAGGTAAATACATAATATAGCTTAAGTTTTATAAATCAGAGTTATGTAGAATGTAATAACATATATAAAAACAAATGTTAGATATAAAAAACAGATACAAAAAATGTATTAAAAAAGTGAAAACATTAAAAAATTGAGATTAATATTTAAAATAAGAGGTATTTATTAAGAATTTATAAATTAGTAAAATTATTATAGGTTAAAAATTGTGTATCAGTAGGCAGAAAGCTATGTGTATCAGTAGGCAGAAAGCTTAACTTCTTTCTAGCACTAAACTAAGCTACTGCTTGTAGTGAAATGGTGTGCAACAAGATAGTGTTTTATCACTGTTACAGTTAAGGTTTTATATTAGTAATTTAGTAATTTAAAATTTAAAATATGCATATAGGATGCATTATAAGAGGATTTTTTCTAAATATTTTTGCTTATGCTGATGACATAGTACTTATAACAGTGTCTTGGTTTTTTCTACAGAAAATATTGAATGAAATTGATGACAAGGCCTTACTAATTTATGTCTTTTAACCCAAACAATACATTTTGTTTGGTTTTTTTAAACAAAACAAAAATCAAAAATTATGTCACTTTAATTTATAAAATTTAGTGTAGCAGGTTGCAAACTAGAACTTGCTGACAGTTTAAAATACCTTTGTCATATTGTGAAAAAATGATCTATCAGATAATATTGATATAAAAAGAGATAAAAAATCTATATACTTGAACAAATATGTTGCTAAGATGATATTGATATAAAAAGAGTTAAAAAATCTATTTACTTGAACAAATATGTAAAGGTATTTTTACAGGTATTCAAGCTTAGTTAAAGTAAAAATTTTCCTATAGCATTTCATATGCCCTGCTTCCCTGTGCAACAGTTTCACATTATGCCCTGCTTCCCTGTAACCTGCTTCCCTGTGCAACAGTTTTAACACTATAACATTATCACATCAACGATATTGCTATAATGTGTGTTGCAGTGGTTTGCAGATTGACTTTATTTTTAACAAACCTTTTATTTCAAATATTTTACAGTTAGTAATAAATTTATGCTTTGCTAATAGGCAGCTTATAATTTTGATTTGTGTTTGTCTTATTGCAATGAAAGATATTTTAAATTGTTATTATAATATATGTTTTACTATTAAAATTAGTGACACTTAAAGAAAATACCACGAAACCAAAACTGCACAATTAAGATAATTAATTAGTATGTTCAGTGAAAAAAGCAAGGAAAATCACTTAATGCAACACTTCATTATATATATACCAAAACAAAATCAGACTTTAAATTATTATTTGCACACTAATGAGATTATTTTTAAATTTTATTTTAAAATATATTTTTTGTTACTACTGTATCTCATGTGAACGAATTTCTAAAAGATGGCTAAACTTTATAATTCTAGTTTACAAATTGATCTTTTGGAGCTATGTTTAAGTAAGTATAGTTAAGTGACCAGTGATAGACTTTTTTTGAATCTTTTAGCAATAGTAAAAAAAATTTGGCAGAACTCTGCTATATAATATTTTCTGGAAAGACAAGATTTACCAGACATTTGATAACCCTTAAAAAAAGTATATATAAGATATTGCTTAGTTTTCTGCATTAATACTAGTGTTTTTTTCTTCTTTTTGAAGATAGCATAAATATATATGGAACAAATAAGGTTGTGCAATTTAAGTAGGCCATGGATTTACAAATTTTTTAATACTACGGTGCCTTAAACTCTCCATACCATAACTCTAAGCTAAACTTCTTATATATAATAGTGATCTGAAATAAAATAAAAAAACTTTTTAAATATAAAAATTATAAAAATTTATAAAAAAAATATATAAATTTAACAAAAAATACAATTTTTTTAAAAAAATATTTTTTTGGATAATTAAGATAGTGGTTCAGTACCTCTCCAGCCCCCTTATTATGCCCGGCGGCTAGAGGATATGTTACATTTGTATGTCAATTTATTGCCCATTATTATGTCAATTTTTTGATACCAATTTATAGGCATTTAGATAAGAATTGACAAAGCAATTTAAGTCAAGAAAAACTTATACCACAGTTTTTTCAACAAATCGATATGTTGAAAATTTGTTTCTTAAAACCTCATAACTTTTATTGGTTTGTTTGATTTTAAAAATTTGTTCACCTTTTAAATACTGTACTACAGACCTTTTTAATGATGTATAACATTCTAGTTTTTAATTAATTTAAAAATTTCATGTAACATAGCTAATATATCCTACATAAAATATTTAAAAGTATTCTCAGCATTGATAAATTTAGTATAGAAAAATTAATTATAAAAAAAAATTAAACTTACACATTTGTTTCATTGAAACCTGGATTTTCTTGATCATCATATTGTGCATTCACCACTATAAAAATAACAACCAAAAAATACTTTTAAAAAATTTAAAAAAAAAATTAATCAACAATATAAGCACAACTTAACATTAGACATTTGTGACTTGAATTTATCATATTATAATAAAAAAAAATTATAAGCATTATTTTAATAACTATTAAAATAATATTATTTTTTTTATTTTAAAATACATCAAAGCACAAAGCTTGTATTTATGCTTTAAAATTTAAACTTTAAAATTTCTTCGATAAATCAACATGTTGAACATGTAGTCAATTTTTTACAAACGAAACTTATGCAATCTATATTTACTATTTTGATTTAATTTCATTTTTAGACAATTTAAAATAATATAATAGAAAACTTCAAAATCGAAAACCTATGAATTTAAAAAGAAAAAACATAATGAATGTTTATTTAACTAATTTCAATATTTTAATAATCATTTCATAAGTTTGATACAAATATTATTTTTCTTTTTTTAAATTGACATGACTCTTTTTTGTTGTTGTTGTTTGTTTGTTTGTTTCTGTTTTCCTTTTAAAAAAGTGTTGCAATATAACACGTCTGAGATCGAAAAAAATATATAACTAATATATGAGATATTATCATAGGATTTTACTTTCATTTTTTCAAAGTCCATTATATATTACATGCTTCCACAGATTATTTTCACGCATTTACAATACTTTTTTAGCTTACATTTTTAAATTCTTCACATTCTTCAACGATCTGTGACAATAACATATGATCTTTAACGTTTAACAATAAATATTAAAATGGATAACTCAAATAAAACTGATTTTTTGTTTTATTAATTTTCAAATATTAAATTAATTATTGATTTAAACTCAATTATAGTAAAACGGGATATCTTAAACTTAACAACTTCGTTATTGTCAGGAAAAATTATACAAAATCATACAACCGCAGTTTGCTAACATAATAAAAAACAACTAAATTTTATTATATTTCATATAAAAACGCGTTTTACGCCGTGATTGTTTAGTTAATATGATAACTACCGTAATAAGCTGTAAATAATAATTCTAAGAAAATTAACATCAAGACTATAATGTAAATGCGTGTTTATCTATAAATATGTAATCAAACAAGAAATAATAATCTAAAACAAAAAAAAATGATAACAGTTAAATATTCATGATAAGTCTGATTAAAAAATTTTAGGAGACGTGCAATAACAACAAACTGGCGCAAACAATATAATAATATACTTACATAAAAGTTTTAAAAGAATCAAAAACGCGACACTAACTACCATTGTAAAGTACGTTGACATATCAATAATATAATGTTGATATACGTTATGACAAAACTCAGGGGGTTTTAGAAACATTATGTATGATTTATTTTGAATATAGTTTATTTTAAATAGGTTTTTATTTTTTATCAAATAAATTTTTGTTATATATTTTGTTAAAACTTGTGTATAAAAAAAACAAATAAAAATAATTATATACATTCTAAAGTAAGACAGTTTTTATTATTAAATATCTTCCGTCTGCAGATACTAATACCTTTATACGTTTATTTGGAGTAAAAATTATGTACTTTAAACGCATTTTTAAACCTTAATACCCAAAATCGACGCAGCGTGATTTTAAAAAGTTTTTTATTTAAAAAAATTTAAAAAAAGACCCTGAGCACTTTTCTAATGTTGTTCCGATAAAATAGTACTTGTTTTTTGTAGTGGATTTTATTTTTTAGTTTAATAAGTAAATGAGTAAGTCATGATCAAATATTTTTGAATACAAAAAAGATAGATTTTGATGTTATTTGTTGAGATATGATAGGTTTTTTTAAAAAATTCGACTAATATTCAGTATTGCGTGATATTTTAATTAATTTCCATCTTTTTTTAAATATAGTTTTTAAGCTTTCACACTAAAAAACATAAGTGAAATTTTAAAATAAAAAAATGTAATTACTTCCGTAGAGGATTATATTTTAAATCTTAAAAACAAACGCAACGTCATTTTGGTGTCAACAATGATTGGAATTTTCTTTAAATCAGTGACTTTTTAAGAGACTGTTAAAATAATGATTTTTTTTTTTCTTTTAATCTTTTTTCAAGTATAATTCTTGAAAGGATTTAAGTAGTGCCAAATAAAAATGTCATCACGAAATATTTGCCTTGAACTTTTCTTGATTTTTAATTGTCATTCAGTTTTTTTTATATAGATTTTAGTTGCTATTTCCGTTCTTTCTGTAATGTTTATTTTGTAGCCAGAGTGCGTTGGGAATGTATGAATGTAAATAAAACATGTATTTATATTTTTTCACTCGTGTGTTTAAACAACCTATTCCAGGCTGAAGACACGGGATTCGAAGTGGAAGGGCATAATCGTAAATTTCTTAAAAAAGTCCCCTATATGAAGGGGCGGAATCAGTAATTTTTTAGTTTTTGAGACTTATTTCCAAATATGGAGCAAACTCTTAACATTTATATGTTTATACTTATTTTAAGTAAAGATGCTTTGCAAAAATATTGCGGTGATTGGAGTGTCGGAACAAAAAACGCCCAAATACTTCACATCCCCACCTGCCCTAAACGTGAGAGCAACAAGTTGATAAAATATTATGTGTTCTTTTCTCAACTCTACTTATGTTCATTAATAAATTTTAAGTTTCATTTTAGAATTCAAAAATTATGATCATATAAAGTTTAAACCTCTCCTAATAAGAGGGGGTTTCAAATTTTATATGGTCATTATTTTTGAACACTGGGAGATTACGCTATGGAACTTAAAATTTATCGATGAATATAAGTCTTGTTGAAAGCAGTATAAAAAAATATTTTATCAACTTGTTGCTCTCACGTTTGGGGTAGGGGGCAAATTTTTGTTTTTTGTTTTTTTGCTCCCAGACTCTAATCATTGCTTTTTTTTTTTTTTTTTTTTTTATTTGCAAAATATCTATTTTTACATAAGTATAAATATATAAATGTTTGGAGATTGCTCCATGTCTGGAAATGAACCTCAAAGTCCGAAAAAAATGCTGGATCCTCTCCTATCTATATCTAGAAATTTCTGAAAGAAAAAAAAAGGTCCTTTAGAAAAAAAATTAGGGGCCAATGCCCAATGCATGTCCCCCTCGGTGTCGTCAACCCTGCTGTTCCGATGGGCCAAGTATCTAAAAATATTGAGTTTGAAGTTATCTGTTTATGAAGTTCACACCGCAGTGAAAATAATTAAAAAAAAAGTCTGCCAGAAACGATTTGCATTTATGAAACTATTAATTATAGCATGAGTTTTAAAAATTATTTCAACGTTTAAAAAAAAAATCGGTTTAACGGAAAACTTATTGGGTGCTCATGTATTGATGCTCACAATATGTAATTTCTAGATGTGGTGCAAACTTTAGATTTTGCAATATTGATACTGGTATCGAATGTTTTCCCAAAATTTACGGTGATCGAAGCTCTTCTTTATCTAATTTGGAAAGGAAAATATTTTTTTCAGAAAAACTAAAAGACACCGAAATTAATTAAAATAATTTATTCATTATCTGAGATTTTTTTTTGTGATGCGATCAAATAAAGTTTAAAGCTATTACAATTTAGGATGAATTTAAAACTATTACAACTTGGGATAAATTTAACAATGTTATAATGTTACATGTAAAGTTTTTTTTTCATCTGTATTTTCATCTGTATACATATGAATTTTAATCCCGTTAATAACAGTAAACTTTTCATTTTAATGCTGTTACCGCTCCTCATTTATTTAATAAACCTATAGAACATGGGGCCCTATATTTTTTTTAGAGCCCCATGTTCTAAATATTTATTAAGACACGATTAAAATAAACACCAATTACAACAATGTATTAACGTGAACATAAATATAATCCGATAAATATATCTCTATATTATTCCAGTTAAAATAAAAATATATAATAAATAAAAATAAAATAGCTGATTTTTCGGAGAAGTGCAGGCACGGATCCAGCATCTTTTGATCGTTGAGATAGCTAACTTCCAGACATAGAGCAAACTGCAAACATTTATATGTTTATACGTCGAATAAGGATGCTTTGCATAAAATTGCGATCGTCGGAGGCTAGGAACAAAAAAGCCCCAAAACTTTCGCCCCCCTGCCTCAACAACCAAAAAATGCTGGATCCGCCCCCCTGAAGTGTTTAGATGTATGACTATAAGTTTATTTACCACATTTCAAATGTTTGTGTATAAATATGATAAAAACGAAATTTGTGTAAGATTGATAAGAAGAATTACATGTTAGTAGTTATAGGAAGCTCGCAGAAGACTTAATTCAGTCTTGTCATGGACTTGTAATACACATAAAAATCAGTTGCATACGTGGTATATACAGTATTGGACAAAACATTTGCAACCAACATCGAACTATGCTAAAAAGTGTTCCTAATTTTACATGTCTTAAAAACGACATAAACTATACTACCACAGCAAACAATTCAGGAGTCTGGAGTCATAGCATGTCATGACATGAGCAATCAGCTGACAGGTGACAGCACACAGGCAGAATTTCGTTGACAAGAGCCATTTTGCAGCGGATGAAACAAGTGCAACTTTTTTGGTTTGTTTCATTTTCTTAAGTCTGGTCCGTGTCAACGTCACGGAAGTTTTTTAATAGTTAAAGGAAGTATCCAGAAGTTTCCAGAAGTTTCCAGAAGCATGCAGAAGCTTCCAGAAGTTTCCAGAAGAAGCATCTGGAAGCATCCAAAAGCATCAAGAAGTACCCAGAAACATTCAAAAGCATCAAGGAGCTTCCAGAAGCATCGAAAAGAAGCATCTAGAATCTTCCAGAACAGGTTCACACAGGTTCATTTTACGATATGAGACATGTAAACCGACATGCAATTCAGTCAGTATATGGAAGTCAATCAGTCAGTATTATCAAAACAGTTTATCGAAATGAGTTTTATCAAAGCGTTTTATCGAAGAACATCAATACATTTTATCAAAGTTTTTTATCGAAGAACATCAAAGTGTTTTATCGAAGAGCA